CGGCTATACTCGCTCCTGAACCCTTGGATGTTCCGCAGATCATCGACCCTCATCAGGAGGTGAAGCATTGGCTCCCTTCACGCAAACACCAGACCAATGGGGCCATCGATCATCTCTCAACGGCCACAATAATTATCATGCATTGGATTATAAATTCTCCTTTCAAGGTTACGTCTACCAACAAAATCGCCCTATATAAATAGGTAGACTGAGGCCCCAGATGTATTCGGTCACCATCCTACCCTGCAACACGAGGTAAATCTTTTGTCTGCTACTACCGTGGCTATGATCATTCATTAGCTTCACCTGGCGCGTTTTCGTTCTAATTGGCCTGACTATGTCTCTCGGACTCTTCATTAAAGTAAGAAAAAAAAAAAAGAATATCGCGTCCCTGATGATCACAGGTCTTTATCGCTGAGGACACCTGGGAATCGCCATCCAGTCGATGAGGCTGTGTTGTTTGACACCTCTTGGAACCGTTCACGTTGAATCATCAGTACTTGATGGCATGGCATGGAGTAAGGAGATCAAAGGCGAAAATGCTAAGAAGATGGATAAGACAAGAGGTTATGCAATTGTTAAACGAGGTGATCAAGGAGCAACCGCCATGGTCAAGGAACAAAGAGGAAACCGCGAGACTCCACCAATGGGGAAAGCGAATGACTCGTCGGTGGAGATGCTGTAATGAACCAGGACTTGAGGATTATGTTGTCGTGGAAGATGGTATTCTTGTATTCGGGGGCTGCATCGAGGCGTGCCAAATCATCGGGAAAGACCTTGCCAAAGAAGAGTTTGTCGAGAAAATCGCTGTTGATCTGGGAAGATTCTGGCAGGAGGGACGATCTTGTTGTGGCAGAGGGATCTGGAAGATCCTGTTGCTGTCCGGTAGACCCCTGTCGCAAAGAGCGTTGCCATTGAGGGTATCACAGAGCAGGCAATTAGTCTGGGTCTAAATAGCCGGACTCGCGGGAACTACGACAGGGCTTAGAGGGAGCTTGTACAAAAGAGTAAGTAGGTTCACATCACAATCTTTAGTTGCGGTATGACCGGCCCTGCACACGCCGTTGCGTTGGCTACAGCCAGTGATGATTAAGGACGGTAGTTGTCTAACAGCAGCTGGGAGGCATGACGGAGACTTCAATACATGCCTTTCGTCGTTGGTCACGCACCGTAGACAAGGAGGCATATTCCCGGAGTCAAGAAGACTGCCATGATCCCGCTGCAAGAAGGCTCAATGGAGAGGACCCGACTGAGATGGAGCTGGCCGAGATTAAAGTGAGAGAAATCGTGGACACGTCACGTTCAATGCGGCAACAGTATCACAAGCGTGGATGAGCGTTCTATGTGTATAGTCGGTTCCGTCTCGCCCAAGGGCTGCTAAAGCTGTGCCTAGTGACTCGGCTGACATATCCTACTCGTTGATTGCCTTGAGCCTCTGCCGTCTGGGCGTCAAGATTGACAAGGGCGTCTGGGGTGCCGAGGTCAGAGGCGTGAGCTTCGCGGTCGCGTGTATTCGATCCGGTCGACCTTGAGATATGTAGTGTGGAGGGTCGCTACTGGCGGTGACGGTGGCGAGAATTGGGCGTAGTTCGAGGGCCGAGCAAAATGGGGTTCGCGGCAACGTCGCTAGAGGGCTAGACAAGCTCAAGCAGTACCTAGTTATAGATTGGGAGGAGAAAATGAAAGGTCGCGGGCAATACTGCCAATGTGTAGGGGGATGATGGGTCACGTGGGCGCCCCTGAAGCTTGCATTTGCCCTCTTGGTGTATGGCGATGCCAGCATACTTGATTCAAGGTTAAACTACCGTACTCTGTATGTAAGCTTAAACTCAAGCTTATTATTATGGCTCGGCGGTCTACCGTCGCTCGAAACACCTGATCAATGAAGCTGATATGGTGAGCCCCTCACCCGTTGGGAGTTTTGGGGCCACTGTGCGTCCTCCATGATCAACCAGAATGGCTGAGACGTACTGTCGTATCGTGACTATAGCTACGCTGGGATTTGCCATATTTTGATCTCGCGTTAGCTGGGCGCCTTGGATCATCCAAGCCCCCATACCGTCTGATTCTTGGCCAAGCCATGCCGCTTCTTTGCATGTAGAAAGATGCCTGGTGAACTTGGCCGAAATGCCGTGTCTTTGGCAGCAAAGACAGCTATGCTTTGCATTTGCATCGTCATGATCTGAATGTCACCGAGTATCTCAGCTTAGCTTGCCCAAGGGCTCAGCTCTTACAGTTGTGCACATCACCTCAAGCTAGAACATGATTGAGGACGGAGTGAAGTATCCCGAACCAAAGAGGACGCATATCTGGTGCGCACACATTAGGGGCTGCGCTGAAGCATAGTGGGTGGTATGTGCGCTGTAGCGTATCCGATGAATCGATGGCGGACGGGCAGAGATCTACCAAGATGATCCTATCGCATTGACTTAATTACTCCTTCTTCTTTATACTTCACGTGGGGTTACTTAAGTATCAATTAGGGAAGATGATTCAATCTGTAGGTTTTCGAATGGCAACTCCAACGCATTCATCTGTTCCATGATGATCGTACCTATCTCGGTTTTCAAGTCGGTAACAGTGTCGGCCATCGGGGTCAGCATCGGAGCGGTAGACGTAGAGACAATGGCCGAAGAGGAAGCTTGGCGTCTGTTCTAACATAGGCGGCGGCGAGGGCTATAGTTAATGGCTCTCCAGTCGTTGTTGCCATGTGGTAATCGACGACATGATGTTGGCGGATGAGCAAGTTCATTCGAATGGTCTGTGACAAACATGAGGACAAAGCCATGTTCAGGTAGCTTCTGGCATGTTCAGCTCCTTGTTCACATTTCTTCTCAGCATCGTAATATTATCTCGCCCTTCCAGCCCCGTCTTTGATGATTAGGAGCGTCACTGCACTTGCTGTTCTACCTTTGCCGGCGACACTCCGACGTTGCGCTGCGATGCGCAGCCCGTCATCAATTAATAGCCCTTTTCACCGGGCCATGGTACTGAATCCCCTTCGCCCACCTGGGGGACTAGGGTTATCAAAGACGCAACGAATTCCCTCTTGGAACGAGACAAAATGAAGTTGATTGTTGGCTGCTCTGGGCTGTAACAGACCTCGAGCGTTTTCATGGTTGCGTCGCTTAAGATGACGTTTCCCGAGACTGCTCACTGGCCCATCCTTGTTCACAGCACGGCATCATTGATGATTTCGGTTAAGAAAGGGAAGAAGCAAGCTAAAACAAGAGTCGCCGATTGGTCGCTATGGGTCAGTCTTGGGGTTTGGACGATCAACAGTCCCAATTGCCCAATATGCACGCAAAGTTCATGTTTCTTCCAGCTTGACCTCGAATGGCCTCGACTTGCTTAAATGCGTTTCGTGTGGTTCCGCACAGCCGCCAATATTGTTTCATTCGACAACCTGTTTCTCGTACTCATAACCAATTCGGGGCTTTGATCCTTGCAATTACGACAGAGGAAGTCTGAGCATATGGGCCCTCAGGCTCATCGTTTTGTACAGGTTCAGCTTTCCAATAAGATCTTTTTCCTTCTAATTTCGACCGGAGAAGCTTCTGACCATGCAGGCGGCTCACAACCTATCTTGATACTCCCTGATCTTTGCCTCTTTGGTTGTGGCCAAGTCTAGCAAAGTTAGTCCCGACACTTTCATGACACTCGACCTGTTGATACGACGTGACTTTGAACTCTGAAATTCTCTATTGCATTGAAATATGCTCCATGAAATCTGCCTGTGTTAATACCAATGCTGGATTTCTTCTCAAAACCGACGTAATCTGCTCGAGGACGCAACCTTCGCAGTCACCCCGAGACTTCATAGAGCACTCCGCTATTGCACGAGGTTGTGATTATGCCCGTGCTTCCTTAAAAGAATTATATGAGCAACCGCCTGTACGATGTATGTCACACCTTGACGTTCCAAGCTTCATCTTCGGCAAGAAGATATCACCTCACCTACAAAAGATCTTGTCGCCTTTTGTCCATATTACGATACGATGGGGTGCTCGTAGCATGCCCATCGGGAGAACTATTTTTTTGCAAATTGACTAGCTCGAGTTTCCCACACGGCTTCATCTCTTAATATCGGTCTCTCATCATCGGCATATGACGCTCGCCACCGGACCAGTGCCAAGTCTCATTATTCAGTGTGGAATTGATCGACAAGTTACCAAAAAGCCGGCGATTGGATCGCAACAGTATTCTAGACTATGTTGTCAATAACGGTCATCCGAATTAATCATCCTCAAAGCCATACACATCTTCAATGATTTACTTCCACGCGCCCTTGGCTTGATGAGCACGGCAACCCGTTTACAAAGACTTCTCTCCTCCCATCGAGAGAAAGGAAGCCCCGCCATCACCATGGTCTCCATTAGTCTGATTAATACGACGCCGATCAAGATGGCGTCAGCCTATCATTGTCAGAAAGTGCAGCTCTCTGCGTCTTCGAATCGCTGCCAAGTAGATAGTTGAGCTTGGTGGGCTTGGACTTCTGCTGCGCATCGGCTGAATACCGAGTCTAGGCTGAGCTTACTCAACGGAAGGGCTCAACCATCCGGCCATAACTCTCACTTGGCTTTGACTCAGCCCGATGTGTTCGGTATCTTATTGCCCATCTATCAGGAGGCCTCAATTTCATAAAGAATCACACCAAGTAACAGCCTACCCGTCTAGTCTCGGCGCTAGGTCAAGTACTTCAGGAACTTTAGCTTATACTTGTATGAAATCGCGCACGCTATCATTCGTGCACTTAGATGGCGAAGTAGAGATTGTGTTTTACGATGTCCACGTTCACCAGAACCGGATCATGCCCCATCGACGTCAAACCCCCATCATATTACAATAGGCCAAACAGCGTCTATCACTCCATAACCGCAACAACCACGGTCACAGAGACATATTTGGCTCTCAACGGGAACAAGAGCAAGCTCCAAGCCCCAACCTCAGCCGTGTACATGCGGCCCTCTCCCACGGTATCAAACACGCAACCCTCATCGTCAGATCTTTTCTTCCTGAATCTTCACCATCAGTTCAAGACACTGGGAAAGTCCAGCGTCGAAAATACGGCTGAGGCCCTCGGGGTCTAGGGATCGCAGGTCTCGCCTCAGAAATAGGATTTTTTGATTCTCTTTCTCGGTATTAATCTCGTTCTTGCATAGGCTGATGAACCTTGGGAGTAAATTGATGTAGCATTGTGTTGTTTTCCGTGCATTAGTTTGTTGATTGAGCCCTTTTTGCTTCATCTGCAGATTCTTTTCGGCGCTGTCCCTTTTCTTGACTGTCTCACTGAGGGCACGTCCGGTGTCTTCAATGGACTTATTCATTGACACCCGCATGTTCTCGCTCAAATTCATGGCGAAACGTTTCATCTTGGTTAGGTCGGTCTCTTCAATGAGAACTTGTTGAATGGCGTCGTCTCGTTGCTTGCTGACGATGCCTATGGCTTTTTCTGCGTTGGCGATCATGATGTCTAGGGATGTGCAAGCTTGTCTTTCATTGCGTAGTTCATTCTCATAGTTTTCGAGGCGCGAATGAGCTGCTTCGAGGCGAAGAATTGATTCCTCCAACGCTTCCTAAATCAAGGGGAATCAGGTTTGGTGACTACTAAACGGGTTACTAAATTTGGAGAACTCACATCGTCCTTTGCGTTTCTAGACTCGCCGACGGAGGTGCCGGTATTATTTGTGTCAGGAACATCAACGGGGTTGACGAGGTCCATGTCCAGATCCAGGTCCAGATTCATGTCCATACTAGGATCCGGCTCGGGGTCACGGTCTACTTCCGTGTGTGCGACAGGGTCTGGGTCTGGGCCTGGGTCTGCGTCTAGGACTGGATCCGGATCCGTCGCGCGTCCCGAGCTTCGTACATGCTCTTGATAAACATGTCCACGTTGAGCTTTGGTGTTTGCCTTCCTGCTTTGCTTGATAGGACGTCCCTCGCCAGTAGACGAAATGCTGGTTCTTAGTGTTCGCTTCTGGAAAGACGCCGGCTGGAGACGAGTGATAGGTGGTTCCTCTGTACCTATCATGTCGCCATTTTGGCCATTGCCGGAGGCTTCTGGTGAGTCATTACGTGGCGTCTTCCTGGATCGGGTAGACACCGTAGATCTTCTCCTCTCCTGATCGGTCGCCTTGACTCAATCCCATACATCAGCACAGATCTTGTGTGTGATCTGCCTGTCTCTAGACTCGCGAATTTCTGTCATGAGCCGTTCAGTTAATTCGGATCTGGTAATCGAAGATGGGCCTAAGTAGACTCTCTCAACCGCCAAAGCAAGCTTTTCGGCTGCACTTTCGCCCCATCTCTCGGGAGTGAGTCCTTGGACAAGCTCCCAAGGCCAACGGCCGCATGCCTTGTGAATTCGAACTAGATGGCCACAGCTTCTGTCGTCGGACTGGTTGTATGGCTCCGGCACAAGAGCTCGATAGGACCGAGAAGAGGCAGTGGTGGGCATTGCTAACGTTGCGTTGCAGGCTGGGCGATCGGTACAGGACGAGATTTAGCAGTACGGAAGGATCGTGAGGTCGGTTATTGTTCATTTCTGTGCTGCCAGCTCCATTTGAGCGTGATCAGTTCTGAACAGTTGAGCAGAAATCTAGATGCTTGACAGAGCTCCACAAGATTGTCACGTCACGGCAATGAAGAAGTCTTATCTTATCTAGCGGGCGATCGGTGGATCTAATTTCCGGTGGGTCATCTCCGGCAGGCAATCGGCGGATGGAACTTCCGGCTCGCCAATCTGAACTACGACAATTCGGATCCAACCGAAGGGTTGCTATTCATCAATCATGGCGCCGATGGATCTTGATAACGGGTCTGAGACTGACTCAGAATCTGGGGTAGGATCCGCAGAATCTGACTCGCAGTACCTCATGTATCGCAACATTCTGCAATCCAAGACCGACCACCCTCGTAGTCAGTGGATTGTCTGCCAAATGATTCGAGATCATCTTCTTTTCATCCAGTCCAATCCATCTGACCAACTCTTTCAACGCTACGATAGGCTCATGCGTAACGAGTCTTGTCAATATCGATCAACAATCGCAAATCTTTCGCCGTCCCCAGTCGCTGACGAGGAGAAGCGCTGGCACCAATTTTACATGCGCGCTGCTGCTACTGCTACTGTTACCCAACGTCATTCCACCAGCCAAGATAATAACAATACTCGTCCTGTACCCGATCATGCGTCGGATAAGCGATGGGCCACCAAAGTCGCTAAGCAGACCAAAGCCTGGCTCCGTAACAATCCTCTCAAAAAAGACACCGAAACTCATCGGCACGCCCCCGCGCAGCAGATTGTCAACTTCCTGACATACGGTCATATGCCCAGCTCAGAAGAGGCAGCCTACTGTAGCACCGACGAAGCCAGGGAACTTGTTATCGCTGGTGATAAAATTCTCATCACAAAAGATCAGCAACCAATCAACTGGGGTGGTCGCCCGATCGAAGCCCTTTTCAGGAAATGGTACACGCCCTGTGATCTTACCTGTGAAACCGAGGTAATCATTCCTCAACGACCCATATCGAGCCGCATGAGGGTCAAGAAGACGATACGCGATGTCTCACGCAAGTTCTTGGATAACCATCTGCCAACTGAGTAGTGGAACGTCCTCGATCTGCACAACCCGATACCTCCACGCTCCCCATCTTTTCTAGATTCTCCGAATTGTCAGCTTCTGCACTCCCTTCTAGAGGCAATGCACAACGACCCAGCCAGAAGGCTTCCTGCTACCCACGACTTTCTACTCAGTGAGGGTGGGAATCATACTATTGCGCATGTCGACAGTCATGGCTTTGGAGCCTTTATTACCGTTCACGAGGGCCTTTACGGCTTTGGTTGGGTTGCTGTCAAGAATGCTCGGGACCGGACACTTTGGGAACAAGACCCCCTCTCATTAGATGTTGCAAAAATGGCACGTTATGTGATACTCCGCCCCGGTCAAACTGCCTATTTCCCATCCGGCACAATCCACTTTGTTTTCCGTCTTGTTGACGAACCAACATTGGCAGTTTCAGGCGACGCCCTCGCATGGTCCTGCATTCTCCAGTGACTGCACGTCTTGAGGAGACAGGAGCTTGACCAGTCAGAGGCAAATAGTGATGTCACCGAAAAGTCTGTCAAGAAGTGGACTTCAACCTTGAGGAAACTTGTGAACCAGTGTATCAATCTAAGCAAGACAGATGACACACAGGACCATCTGCAGCTCATTGGGGGGGTAGAAAAGGCACAGAATATTGTTGAGACTATTGATGTAAGTATTGAGTCATGTGCATGTGTTTGGTGCTGACGGTGAAGGTGAATAGAATTGGAAATCTTTTGATCCTGACGCGTGACGACATAATGCGGGACTTGCGTCGCATGGGAGGAAACACCTGAGCTATAGGCTCTATCGCATAGGAAGAAAAAATTCCCCAGGATTTGCAAAGCCAAGGGGAATACTTGTAATCAAAGATGGGGGGAGAATTCGAGTGAGCGCCTGGACGAACAAGAATAGGGACAGTGGAACTTTGGCGAGATCAGATCAATTAGATCTTAAAAGCATCACCTCGGCGGCTTGCCAAGCTTTGGTTGGCACATATCAACCTTGAACACAATGATCAGGTTTATGAGCTAGAGCTCCTGGTGAGCTAGTGGTCATGAGTTTGAGGCCTTTGACAGGGAACAAATCAAGCATGACCCAAATACCAACACTTTCCAGTAAAGATAAGTCAGATATATGGTGAAAGTTTTCCATAAATAGATTGCTTGTTCTAATTCAATAAAAGCTCTATGTCGCATATACAAAGAGTTGTTAGCTGTGTGTAAAGGTACTCATAAGTGCCAAAGGCCCCTCGCAAATGACTTACGTGAGATCCATTCACAAATTGTAAATAGGAAAACTGTGGTGTCATTAGACCTATATTTGGTTTATTAAGATATTACATGTACGTAGAACTCATTCCACCTCATATTGCGGCCCTGCGTAAGAAATGTTGTCTTGTGAAGTAGAGGCAATCAAGGGGCACCTTGACTGAGTACGTAGACGAGTACAAAGTAGAGCTACCCTGCACCAACCGTGTTGCATTATACACAAATACTCACCTCTAAATCTTTCCACCAACATTACAGTGCCTTATTCTTTTCCCGGCCTCCGTGGCTTCGCTCCACCGTCGCCTGAAGCCGCGCCGACGCTGGTCCGGAAAGGTGGGGCCGCCGTCCCCGTCCCGTCTCGGCATAGCAGTCTGACAGCGCCGCATCGCACAATGTCCAGCCGCAGTTTGAAGAGTTTTGGATTTAACTAAGTGGATAATTAGGTGAGAAATGAATTTTGGTCTGCCCATCCATGACGTTGGCGGTGCGAGATAAGATCGCCCTTGAAAGACAGTGTATTGGAAGTGGAGCACACCTATCAGTATTCTTACGTTTTCTGTCAATTTGGCAGTTATGAGATAAAAAGGATATTCTATAGATTGAAAGGGGAGAATTTTATTGTATATAGTCTACTAATTCTGTTTGAGCTATTTGAGAAGCACCTACGTAAGCTTGATGCACTGCTGTTAAACACCACCCATCACATCTTTTACTTCAGCAAGGACAGTGATGCCGAAAGATGATCGATTTCTCACAAAGATGGAGTTGAAAGCGTTAGTACCATATGGTACCAGTTGGTTTCTAAGAAAATTTCCGGTTGGCTCTGAGTACGGCGGACAACCCATCTTCAAGCCCATAGATGCTCAGTCGGCCACGGCTACAATCAGGTCTCCCAACCTTGCTCGTCTGAGCCCGGGTTCGGAACGTCAGTTTTATGGATTATGAATAATTCTTATTACTTGGTTAGCAAACCCGGTCCCTCTCTACGTTGGCCTAGCTGCCTGAATCCTTCACGGCTCCGCTCGGTTGGCTGTGTTGTTATACTTTAAGCCAGCATAGCTCAAACGGTCCGCAATAAGCAGATTCGAGCCTTTATCTTACTCCTAACAACGGTGAAATTAACACACTTCAAGATGAAGGCGGAAAAACCAATGTGGAACAACAAGTCAGACATTTGGGGTTTTCTCACTGTAAGCTTTTCGCCTCGACGGCATCGGTTCACATCAAACCAAGGCTCTACTGCCAAAGCGCAATAGCAGGTGATGAATTAAAATGCCAGTGAGCCACAAAATAAGCATGGAAGCCTAAAAGACCTGAAAGAGAAATCATGTCGCGTAGCCCTAAGCGACAAGTAGACCATGAAACCAGGAACGCCCCAGCTGGGAGGTCCCTGGCCCTGCGACACAAGCTCCAGTGAGTGACGACTTTGAACCATGGCGCTAGGAAGGGACATAAGAAGTTAGAGTGGCTTGTTTGTTGAACTATACCGTAATGTTGTTACATTCCAAGTCTGTCCTCCTATCAACCTGCGATGGCCGGAAGGTGTGCCACACTTCTTGACTCGTTTATCACTCCTCGGCTACGGTGGTCCACTGTAGGAACTCAACTAGCCTTGTTGTCAGTCTGTGAGACGAATGGTTGTTATGATTGGCCATTAGGTCACTTGCAATGTCCAGAATCGGTCAGATATCGACTCCTTGACTGGCCATGACGATCGCCATATTCATACTCCACGTCACATCTTGTAACTCTTCGTGCTCAAAGTCTTCTCGCCCTCGTGCTACCTGACAATCTTTGGAGACAGCTGTGTACCTTACTTTACTCTGTTCAATGCCTGCGATTATTAATCCTCCGAGACCCATCCTTTGACGATCACTACCATGGCCCAACTTCGACAGCCTCAATCAGCCACTGTTGCAATCTGCAGCAACATAATGTCCTCCCAATTCACCTACGCCTATGAGAAGCAACCTCGCTTTCGTCGACTTGATTGCTATCAGCTGTGCTTCGAGATTGGCGTCAAGCACACTCCCAATTACCCGCCTCGAGATCGATGGTGACGTACCTGATGACGCGTGCTCTTTCAAGCACACTACAGACAATTGGCGACCTCGTCACTTCATCTGAGCTTGCCAAGGATTATGACGGAGTGGGGATCCTATGGAACGGACTCTGGGTGCAATAGCATCTTACAACCCGTGACCTGAAGAAGGCTATGCTAGATGGCAAGGATAGCGGCCTCATTGCATATATACAGATGGCACAAGACCGGCACGACAGAACAGACCAATGCCACAAATTCATCGCCCGGACACGCTCGCGCTTCGTATTACCTGCTGATCAATATTCATCCCACCTACCGCCGTTGGCTATGTCATTTTTGGGTATATAATCATCGAACCCAAAGCTATCAATTGGCTTCGTGTCTTGCGACCCGGAAAGACTCGATCCTGACGATCAATACAACTAATCTGACCAATCTTTCTCCATCATATACGGCGTGCTCCGTTTGATCTTCTCTCGTGCGTTTCCCTTCTCTGCATCTTCGCATTCGTCCGCTGTTGGACGCGTGCCTCCATGCCAGTGTTGGGCCACATCTGTCCCCGTTCTTATCCATCTGTCTCATCGATCCCGTCAAGACTACAAATTGGATGTTTGTAGCAAGCTTGGAATCCTACGTACCCCATTTGAAACTCTAGTCAAGGCCACTTTAGCAACGGGCCGATGCTCCATGACACTAGGGGGCACCACTGGGTTCAGGTCTTACGTAGCGTCACTCTCTGATTGGTCGAGCGCAGCCCCCTTTATGGGCTGCTCGGTGATAAATAAAGCTGGGTTGGTGTGGCTTCCTTTGTGAAAAACTTATCTGTCCTCTTTTGTATGCTCAGTCGGTGCAATAAACCCGCATCTACAACGCCCAGCACCGATGCACCATGTTGGGTCCCCGGCCCACACCACCAGTAGTCCAGAGAGATGGGTTCCAGCTCCGTCAAGGGCACTTCACCCGCATAAATGGAGACATTGGTCGGGTTAGCGGATCCCGTTTGAAGGAGCTCTTTGACCCCAGTTCTCTGCAACTCGAACAAGATCGGATCGAGGCGGAACGGACGGCCCAACAACTGTTCACCAAGAAGTTTTTCTCGGCACAGCTCAGTCATTACGGCCTAAGGCATCCACGGAATATCAAGAATCCCAACTCTGGACACTTCCGCGAGCTGCTCCGAGAGGCGGTATTGAATGGAAAGGTGCGTGATCCAATACATAGTATATTAGACGTGAACTTCAAAGTAGAACTGATGCCTTTTGATCACATGTAGTGTGACCAGGTGCCAGAGCGGGTGACCAATCTCAAACACGCCATGGAGCTTGAACTAGAACCCATTCACCAGCAATGGGTAATCGACGTCGAGGCATGGGAGGCGACAAAACGGCAAGAGGAAGAAGAGGCTCTTCACAACAAAAGTCCAGGTGAAAAGGCAAATATCGATGTAAACTGGTTCATGGACTACTACTTTCTGACCAACGGAAAACCTGATCGAACCAAGACATCGGAACCTCTGGCACTCCACGGCTACAGCGACTTAGGGCGAAACATTTGTGCTTTAGTTGACAGAGTTCCCGGCCTGGCATGGGCCAGAAGCGGCACTCGGTTCGAAACCACCCTGTGCATTGGCTGGGGCCACAAGGCGGTACAGGCTCTGGCCGAGAAGCTTACCGCTGAAGCATGGGCTGCAAGGAGGAAACGGGAAAAGACTGACCGAGAAAACGCCATGAACGCCCACCAGGACTATCTTTCTCAATCAAACCAGGGCGGTTCATCGCGAGACCGTCCGGCCCGTGCCGCCAACCAATCCCCGCAAACCTTGTTTGACTTGGGGCAATGCCGAGGTTCCTACGTCGTCGAATCCAACACGCTGCTCGGGGCATGGGAAGAAATGGTCGAGGAGGTAGGATGCGGCTCTACAGCGACAAGACCACTCTTCACTTTGGACATCCGCGATAGCAAAGTTGCTGGAATCCTGATAGCGGCGGTCGACTTTGGCACCTTTCAGGGGGCCATGATTCTCTCTGATTCCAAAAGGAAGCTGCGTGATCTTCTCCGGTCTGAGGGTGAAACTGATGAATTCTCGGATCGCGATTATGATGGAGAATATGGTACTGAAGACGACGAAGACGAAGAAGACGACGAAGACGATGAAAGTGACATCGCTGACGACGAGGATTGGGAGTCTGACCCACCACGCAAACGTCAGAAGACCACACCATCCGCCTCGCGTCGCATCTTCTTCAGAACTCCAGGCTGTGATGCCGGCGAATATTACTCCGACCCGCAGCCTGGTTACCTGGATTTTTCCAACGATGGGTATGCATCATTTTGTGGCCAATGTTTGCTCGCTGAAGAGGCGGACGTTGATTTGAAAGGGTATAAAGTGTCTGATGTGCCGGCGCCGGCAAAACGAGGTGGAGACTTCGAGTGGCCTCTTTAAAGTGCGTAAGCGCGTCTGTACTGAGAGGGAGGGGAGCTTGACATGTGTTGGAATGGAAAGATTATGACGGAGAAACCACTACGCATGTTGCTTGGCCTCTTGGACAAGTTTCTCAGCGCATAGTCACAGTAGTTGCCTTTTCTCTATTCCGAATCATTAAGATAATGTGGTCAGGGAGACCGGCGTATATTCTTGCCAGACTCATCAGATTCATACACCTTGTCGCAATGAAATGGTGGTCGCTTGCGTCTATAGAGTGACAGGTCCAGTGTACTGTCAAGGAGGAGATGTAACCCATGTGGTCTTTCTGGATGATATCACCGTCATGACCTCGGAGAAACCAGAGTCCTATTGCCTCCACTATCATACTCCCAAAGGACATAAACGCGAGTTCGGTCCTTTCCGGAAGCTCCGTGGTGAAGGACTCGGGCATCGCCGAGTAAGTGGAACCAGACTCCGGCCCCGTGTGGGGCTGTACTTGTTTCATTGCCGGTCTGGCCGGATCTTGTGAACCCTTGACATTGGGCGTCTTCAAGAATGGAGCCCACTGCCAAAAAGTTCATCACTAGCTCATTACTCGGGGATCTTTATCTCGAAGCCATATGACAGGCATGTAATTACCTCAGTGGACGTTCTGTCATACTGATAGGGACCCTGGTACAGGGTAGCCAGAGACCTGCTTGTCAGTAAGGTCAACATGTGTTGAATGAGGTTAACCAGAGTAGAATGCCATAGTCACTTGGAATAACCTAATGTGACAAGAACCAGTCCGATAAACTATTAATCTTGTGATAAAGGCTCAAATGTATACCGGGCAACTGGCAGATAAACGCGTTTCATGAGTTGAGGGAATGAAGTTGATAGATAAGGATAGCCGCTCGCGATCGGAGAGATGATCCCAAGACGGTTAGCCAAGAACAAGTAGGACGTGAGATTCTACTTTGTTATTCCTAATTAAGCGTATCACTCGTTTGGACAATGTAGTCTGCACCACTCGGCCAAGACATTCTCTCACTGCACAAGATCACAGACCCATCATGAGATCGCAACCTCACTTGCTCGCAGATCCATTACGCTCCAAGATACAAGCCCATGCCCCCTTGGTCTCTGCACCGACGAAGCACTCTTGCGCCGCCTTCTTGCCTTGCAACATTGCCAGATCATGGCCTGCGGCTGTCTTGAGGGCTTGTGCGTTGTGAACCTCTCGCTCGACTGTCTTGATGGCTAGACTTCTCTCGTGGAATGTCCGGTCTGCGAAGAGGCTTTGGAGGCTCACATCTCCGGGTGTGTTTGTTGTGGAGCCGTACTTGGCACCAGTGTGCCATTCGGAGTATGGTGTGCCATGTGGTCCCCAGGTCTTCTGACATGGCGCTTGCAGCTAGGGATCCCTGCGAATCAAAGAACTAATCGTCGTTGGAATAATTAATGTGATGGTTGTCGATCGAATGGTTTCCCGGCTCATCCGCTATTCATCCAAGATCATCTAGGCCTCCCCCTTAAAACTCGCCAAGTTTATTGTCTTGGTCACCGGTCGACAGCAGCGACAGCGTCCCATTCTTAAGACCCTTTGCTATTGACGAGACGTTTTTTCCCGACAGCCGAAGCATCGGGGACTTCTTAGTATGCTTATCCGGATGCTTGGCCACAGCGTCTTGCAAGACACCATGCTCTTCCAAGAGCAGAGAAAGTTGACGTTTTGCGCTTCAGACACCTCAGTGATACTCCTCAGGGCAGTAATCACCTCAGCACTCGGTTTAGCGGCGACTGTTAGTACAAGGCCAGCGCGTATGTCTGTGGAAGTCAAGAGGGTCCTCGCCATTGCTACGTCAGCTAGAAGATATCCTTAGTCTTCTTCTTCTCGATTCGTCCACGACGGGCGACCGCCCGATCGAAGCGGGGGAGGAGAGTTTGTGCCTGGTGGTAAGTCTGAGCAAGAGTCGGTTTCTGGAAGATCAGGCCGCGGAGGATTGCCTGCTGTTCGGGCTCGGCGTGGGCTTGGAGGACGTGTGCAAGATGGCCAGAGGCCTCGTTTGGAGCCTGGGTTAGTGCGAGATGTATCTATGACCTGGAAAACTGTTATCAAAAATCTTGGGCGCGCAGGTCCGCTGCCGTTCACCAACTTCAAAAGGCCCGGGGTCTGGTTGTGGATAGATATTTGAGAGTGGGTGGGTGATGACGGGGGCTTTCGCCAGATGGGTTGGGGCCTCATGGGCGCAAGGAACGATGGGTTGTGACACCTATGGAATTGAAATTGGCTCTTGATCTATGCTGGAAGGGTCTTCTTTCGTTTTCTCAAAGCTGGCGGGATGGATAAATAGTCTAGTAATACTAGACCGTTATAGCAAAAGCTCAAACCGAAATCCAGTTACGGAGATATTGGTTGGTCAGTTCCCAAGCTGCCGTCTGCAGCGTTGTAAGCTGGTTACCTGGTAACTGCGCTTGCTCGGTCGTCTTTCGATATCTGTCGCTGAGCTTCTGTAGCCACTCTGCGGAAAAGTAGACTACAATAAAGGTGGACGAGTCTGACATTATATTTAGCTTGCCCTTGATATTTTCAAGAATGTTCTTGAGGGACTGGGACATGAGAGAGGTCCGTCGGTTATGTCGGGGCCGGGGAGGGAACAGCCAGGGGAAAAGTTAGGGACTAAGCCTGATAGCTATGGAGGTGACAGTGCAGTAAAAGTTGATGCCCGAGTTGATGAGAAGTTTTAGGATCCCTAATATTATGAAGAACACCATGATACTCTTGACAATCTAGTAGGTAATGAAGACTGGCACGGCAAACCTTTGCTTCAGCACGACGGAGTTTGCACTTAGCCCGTTTAGAAATACGAGCTCTGTCGTCGGAGTTGGCAAGAAGACTTATAGCCATGGAGGCAGGCGGTTTCTGAGACGATAGTTGAGAGGCGTGCAGTGATGCTCTTGCGGGTCGAGTACATGAGTTGGAAAAAGCAAAAGAATGAAAATTGGTAGGTCGCTTTGATTGAACCTGGCTTATCGAAGGTTCCTAAAATACCCAAACACACATATCAGGTTGAAGTCGGCATGGTTGGAAGTCCTTACATCGCGTCACAAAGACAACGGACGACAAGCTCGGTTACAGAAAACTTTCTCATCTCTATAAATTGAAGATTGAGCTACCTCATCACTCGCTATGCTCGATTCCTCTGATATCACCGCACACTCACACGTCAGCTATGATGCACCGGTCGATTATCCCTACTATCCTCAATGGTAAACTTGCTTACGTCGTAACCTAATTTGAACTTCTAGAACGCTCTCTACCTAATTAATTGGCATAAATTAAGTACTCTAGTTTGACTCGATGTCTCATGTTGCCGTTCAAACATGCTGCGCGTTTATTGCGCCTCCACTACACGCAGCAAGCGCCCGAGAATATCTGTTTGAGATGACCTCGTTCCCCGTTGCCTGGACACGACCCCAGACGGTGGGCTGAGTTCTACAGTAGCATAGGTAGGGAGTGATGGACCTGGAAGGATCCTTGTCTTTGTTTTTTTCACGATTGTTCTATCGTATTCTCCCTCTTCATTGCCACTGGTTTTCAATGGCTACGCAAGGCTTCAAAGAGCTATCTAATAACCAACTGGCTGCCTCCTCATTGACACCGATGTCACCTTCAGACCAACTGTTGCTCTGGAAACTGCTTCTGAGCCTGCAAATAGTCCGCGACGAGTGCTTCGGCCTCGTGAATAGGAGGTGATCTATGTGGCTGTCGATGAGCCAATTCTGAAGCGCACTGGTCGTACCGAGGCTGAACCGTCTGTGGAGTGTAGGTTGACATTCAATTTCTGAGCAACATGCTGATCGCATATGATAGCCTCAAATCCCACCCTTGCCACTTCGAGTGGCCGTCAACGTCCTAAAAAGGCCACAGGCCTAGCCGAACAACAGCATCAGACCGCAATCGACGAACAACTCAAGAAGGAGGAAGAGACCCTACGTCAGAAGATCAAAGTAGTAACGAACAAGGTGGAAAAGAGGCACAGCAAATCGTTCAAACTCCGAGAGCGGCGACGGCATATCTGGGAGACTATTGAGGATTATGACAGCTCGGTTATTGTTAACCAGAGACACATCGTCGGACTGAATGGCGGAGATCGAGAACACTCCCTCAAGCGTCTAGAGCGCGTCGATCGAAAGCTGCACGAGACGAATGACGAGGTAGAACGGATTCAGAACGCTCTTGATCTGAATCGTGAAAAAGTGGATGGATTGGTACATGACCATGCTGATCTGCTTGTGCAGCTTGCACGAGTCGAAACGATTCGCCGTGATCGTGTTGTCCCTCACCGAAATCTGTGAGGCCATGGGGGATGGAGTATTAATGGGCTTATGGATGTTGGATTCGGGATCGAAGTTGCTGTTGAGTGTGATTTGCGTTGATAATGGGGATATTGTGGCGGTCTCATGTTGGGTGTTAATGCTTTGTTAAGTATAAGAGTGGAATTTAGTCTAATATATAAAGTTTTAAGATTATTTTATTATTTTATTATTTTATTAATTTTTATTTTTTTAAGAAATTAAAATATCTTAATTAAAATCTTAATAATATTAATAATAAAGCTTTTATACTTAAAGCCTAGGGTCTTAATAAGCTTAGATTAATAAAATTTATTTATATAATTATTAGTACCTTTAATAATAGCTTTATTTATAATAAATAAATTATATTTTAATTAATTAAAAGAATTAAAATTAATCTCTTTTTATAATAGCTTTTTTTTATAATTAACTTTTTAATTATTTTTATAATTTTTAATTACTTAAAGAAATATAAATTATTATTATTATTTTTATAAAAGAATATTTAATTATAATTAATAATATAAATTTTTTTTTAATAATTCTTTTTAATAAAAACCTTTATTTAATTAATTAAAATAATATAATTAATACTTATTAATAAGCCTTTTTAAATAATTAAAATAATTTTATTAAAGAAATTTATACGCTTTATAAAAATATAAAAAATATTATTTAATAAATTATAAGAGGTAATATTATATAAAATTATTTAAAATATTATAATTATCACGGCTATAATATAGGCCAGGCGGGGAAACATAGTAGAAAACACTCTAACTAAGCAAAGGACTAAAGGGACTAAATATTACCCGCATCGGTCTAGGGACTAAATATTAAAGGCATTAATCTTACCTTAGATTAAACCTAAAGAATATTAATCTAGAGATTAATTATAAGTATATAAAACGCATTTATTATACTTTCTTATATAATAACTACCTTAGCTATTAATATAACTTAGTTATACTTAATACCTTTAAGTATATTATTAGATATAATATTATATTAACCTTTAAGGCTATATAATATAATCTAATACTAATATAAACTAATATAATTAATTTATCCCTTAAGAAATATCCTCTTATTATATATTAATAGCTCTTATTTATTAAATTACTTATATTACTTTAAATAATATTAAATATAATAGCTACTTAGGCTATTTCTAATAATAATTATTAATAGGTTTTACCTATTAATTATTTACTTACCTTTATTATATTAATTTAGGCTAACCCTAATAATAATAAAGAAATAAATAATAATAATAAAGAAATTAAATAACTCTATGCCTAGGTTAATACTATAATTACTAAAATAAAAGAACTTAGAGGACTTATTAACTATATAGCTATTACTTAGTAAGCTTAAAATTAATAATACTATAAGAATATCTAAAATATTAATAATATAGCGGTTATTATTATAAAAAGTAAAGATATTAGAGAAATCTTAAAACTAAAATAATTAGAGAAATTTAATAATATTATATATAAATTATTAATATTTCTTATATAATTATATATATTTATATTCTATTATTTTACTTAGTTTATTATAATATTTAATAAGGTTTAATATATTACTAAGTATTTTATTAAGTATATTATAGCTTAATTTAAACTTATTATAAAGAAATACCTTATTAAATTACTTAATAAATACTTACCCTAGACTATAAACCTTTATTTTAACTTTAAAGCCTTTAAAGCTATACTTTAATAAGCCTTTAAAATAATAAATAAAAAGGCCTAAGTAAAAAAAGAAATTAAGGTATTTTAATAAACTAGCTTTATATTAGAATATAATATTAAGTATTTCTAGCTTACCTTAAAACTTAATTAAAACTAAGAACCCCTAATATCTTTCTTCTTTAATAAACTTAAGAAAGAGGTATAGGCTAAACTTTATAAGGAAGATTAACTTAATAACCTTATTAATTATATTAGCTATATAATTAAAATTAATAATTAATAATTTTCTTAAAAAAAACTCTAAAACCCCTATAATAATAATAAAGATTATTAAAAACCTTAATTTAATATTAACTAAGGGTAACCTTAATAAATTAATATATCTTATAAA